ACATAGATGGAAAAATGGAGGAACACGAAAAAGGAGAGAAACCTTCATAGAAGACCATAAAATAAAACTAGAATACATGCAACAGAGTCAAAGAGATTACTGGGAAATTTAAAACTACATTGAAAGATAGCAAAATTGCCTGAAGGAAACTAGGGATACATTAACAACACTTGATAGGTTTGCAATGTGTGATTGTGAAAGGAAAGATCTCTTAAAAATAACAAAGAAATAGGCAGTAACAATACAAAGGCTAGAAGACAACAAGAGGATGATCCATAGTTTAAGAATAAAAATGAGTGAAGAAGCAGGAGTAAACACAAAGCAGATACAAAGGCTATTCACAGAAATAATTAAGAAAAACTTCCCAGGCATAGGAAAAGGAGATGATATTCAGCTGTTTGAGGCATACAGAACTCCAGCCACCTAAAACAAAACTGAGCTACCACCCAGACATATAATAATCAAGATCCCAGAAATTCATCCCAAGAACAGAATATTGAAAGCTGTCAGAGAAAAGAAATAGATCACCTCTAAAGGAAAACCCATCAAACTCATGACAGACTTCTTGACACAAACCATCAAATCAAGAAGAACTTGAAGTGAATTATTCCAAGCCTTGAAAGAAAATAACCTCCAATCCAGATTGACATACCCTGAAAAACTGTCTCTCAAAATTAATGGAGAAACAAGATGCTTCCATGACAAAGAGGAACTGGGGGAGTTCGTGACCACCAACCCAACCCTACAAAAAATACTGAAGGACATTCTAGAGAGGGAGAAAAAAACCCCAGGATTTCAGGAACAGTGGCAGAGAGGCCTCAATGAATGGGGCAGACAATGGAATGAAGGAGAAAAGTAGACAACCAATAGAAGAAAAATAGCATAGCAGAAATGAGGCAGAGAAGGTTGGCTATAATCTCTAACATAGATGGCCTTGATACACTAACAAAAAGAAACACAGGCAGAGTAGATCAGGAGATAGGGCCCATCGAAAATTTCCTCTATATGGGAAATATAATTAATGTGAAAGAGGGTTTATGGACCAAAAGTCAAATATGAAAAAACAATGCTGTATGTGACAGGGAACCAGAGAGAAATAGGGGCAGCTCGTCCAGCACCTGAAGATAGCTTGGAAAGACATGACACTTGTGCAGTGGAGAAGAAGCTATAATGAAGCAAAAGCCTTGAGGCTTTTGTATGTGCAGGAAAACAACTTAAGATCAAGCCCAGGGGTAAAAAGTTTCAGAACCACTTGGGTAAATAACAGGTTGAATCCCTAACCTACAAACTAAAGGGAATTAGTGGGAACCAAAATGTACAATGTACCCCATGAAAGTGAAAGTAAAAGGGAAGGAATTGTCTAAGAAGGAAGGCAGAGGACATTGTTAATAGTGTACCACGATTTAAAATCCACATTGTTCTTATCATTTTGTTTAGTTTGGTTATATTTTATTCCAGCCTGTCTACCTGTAGTAGACTTAATGGCCAGACAGCTACTCCAAAAATAGCAGGATATACCACAGTAACCATCCTTAATTTCCTATTAAATTAATCTGAAGCCCTGTATTACTTATACTGTCTTATTATGACTGATCTTATTTGAATCTGGTTTGTCAGATCACTGTCTCGTCTTGACTGATCTTATTCAAATCTGTTATGATTTGATAGTATCAAGTCTGAGAGTATAGACAACTACACTGAAGATGACAGGATTTACTAGGATGCCCACTCTGGTTTGATTATTACCTGCTTTTGAAGTCTTATAATGTCTCCAATGTTTTGTTTTTATTAATATTGTTATATACTGCTATGTTCAATTATACTATGCCTGATGATATAGACAATTCTATTGAAGATAACAAGAGACATCATAGTAACCATTGTAGGTCACCTTGTGTCATGGTTTTATATGACTTTTTCATTTTGTGTTTTTCTAGGAGTTATTGTTTTGTCTTGTTTTGTTTTTCCCTCCAATACAGAAAGGATAGCTATCCATATAGAGACTCGTGCATGTGTAGAACTTCTTTTTTTTTTTTTATTTAAGAGGAAAAAGAGAAAAACACAAAACAAACCAAAGCGGACGCAATACAGAACTACAAAACAAAACAAAACAAAACAAAACAAAACAAAACAAAAAACCATAACAGTAAGAAATTACCTGCTAGTAGATTACACACTATTTTCTTGAAAATAGTTCCTCAAATCACAGTATCAAAGAACACAAGGTGGACATTCAAACAGGGAGACTGCAAACAGCTGTGTTCAATGTTCCAAAAACATTGATAAAGTCAGCTATTTAACACCCCCAAACACACTTGCTGTTATATCCGTTAGAGCTCTTTTTCTTTTTTTTTTCCCTCTCTTTTTTACAACAAAATTTACACATCTTGGATTTTATTACTCCTTAGTGCTTATTACTTTCTTTGGGGGGGGGGGGAAGAATACAGTCAAATATGGCATAACAAAGCTGTCAGTCAATACCAAGGATAGACATAGCACATGGTGTAGAACAGAGTACAAGTTTATCAACAATGGTTATCAACGTTGTCCCTTGTTTCCTTAAAAAGAATTGTATATCTTATTAGATATTATAAAGTTGGACAAAACAGTAGAGAACAAGACCAATAAAACTTAGGCATTGTAAACATTACAGGACTTCTAAAGAAGACAATAGTCAAACCAGAATGGGTATCTTAGTGAATCTTATTGTCTTCAAAGTAGTTGCCTATGTCTTCAAACTTGATACTATCATATAGAATGGAACAGAGTCTAATCAGTCAAAACAAGATCGTGGGAGTACTACAGGACTTCAAAACAAGTTAATAGGAAATCGAAAAGAGTTACTATTTATATATCCTAATTTTTTTGAATTTTTTCTTTAATTAAGACAAACATAAGAAATGACTAAATAATTTTTTTGAAACAATAAGGGGGAGATTGAGATAAAACAGGACATAACAATATAACAATAGAGGTCACAGCATGACTGTTTCAATAACCTAGTACTTCACCACCTTATAACCTGACTTAATAGTAGTTACCATAGTGTCTTTTTCCTTGAAATATTTGGGTAAAACTTCATATACTCTAGCTTCAAATATTTTCATATCAAGAAGCCCAGAATAAAGCCTTTCTAATTAATGAGTGAAAACTTTATAAGGCTTCAAGGCCACCTAATGGGGAATCATGATTACCACATATTTTTATATATTTGAATCATTACTTACATTAGGGAAACTATTCGGTAACAGTTTATGAGAACTGATTATATAATGCACAATAAAATGAACAACTACTTTGAAGAAAAAGAGACACTAAGGGACCCAGTTCTGATTCTGTAGCATCATGATGTGAAATCCAGCAAATTATTATTCTTTATTCCAAGGGATTTTAGTCTGTTTTGTTTAATTTCAAAATGCATGAAGGAATGGACAGTGATTTTGAAGAGAATGAGGAACACTATGACAGCCATTGTCGATTTCCTTATTGTCTGGTCTTGAAGACGTAAAATGCCTTCACCATCCTGTTTGGATCAGTTTTATACTATGTTGTTTTGTATAAATTCACTGTATGTGAAGATATGGACAAGTATTTGGAAGAAAACAAGAGAAAGTATAACAGGTAGTGAAGATCTACTGATGTCTTGCTTTGAAATGTGTCTCTTACACTGCTTTCTTATGTTTTGTTTTGTTATCTTTTGTTATGCTTAATTTTACTCTGTTTAAAATAAAATTAAGAAAAAAAGATTTATGCTCCCCCTTGACCCTGTTATGTCTTGATCTAGTTCTCAACTTATGGTTCTTCTCCAGATTTCTCTACAGGAAACTTGATATTGGGCCACCTCCAGTGGTCTGAGGATGAGTGGTGTCAGCCTTTCCAGAGAACTTACTACCAATACACTTCCTCAGTCCTTGTGAATCAAATATGTGGTGTAACATGTTCCCCAACAGGGGCTTCATTTCTTCACAAAAGATCTGGCACACACACTCTCTTCCAAATCCTCTTCCCTTCCCTGAGTCTCTTCCAAATCCTCTTCCCTTCCCTTCTTTCCCTTTTTGGAAAGTGGTGCTGACTTCCTCCTCATCATGTCACCCAAATTGAAAATGCACGAATGTCAATCACTTTCTTATGGACTTTTTACTGAGACTATGACTTTGCTGATCTCAAAAAGCATTCCTTTCTTTCTATTTTTTTTACTGTCTCATTCTGGATACACTACATGATGAAACAGCAACTCTTTTTAAGTGGTAAAACTGTAAATGGAATTCTGCAACCAGCATTGTGGGAGAAGTAAGTGCATGAACCAAGGTACCAGTGAAACTACGCATATAGCTGACCTTGCTTGTTTATTCTGATCTGTAGTGAATAAAGAAGAGCTCTGCATAATCTAGTACTTCAGTCCTTGATGCCTTTCCAGTGGTAAGAAGACAGGGAAAGTGAAAAACTTCTGCTCTACTTCTCTATCAAGTTTTGCTACTCAATGCTCAATTGATACAATTTCTACACTTCTGCTACCTTGATCTTCCTTCTCTTAAGAATTACTTCATTTCAGGGGCTGGGGATTTAGCTCAGTGGCATAAGTGCCTGCCTTGCAAGCAGGCAGTCGTGAGTTCGATCCCTGGTACCAATAAAAAAGGAAAAAGACAAAAAAAACAAAAAAGAATTACTTCATTTTTCCACACTCCATACTTTGTTTTCTTTGTTTACTCCCTGTATTATTGCTTTCGCATTCTTCACTCCTTTCTTTCCTATTAATTTTCTAACTTCCCTCAGACATTAGAATGCCTTGAAATGGTGCTAACAAGGTAGCTCCCTCAGTGACCCTCAAATTAACCTATTACTTAAACTTCAAAGTACATAAAACTTACTACTGATTTACTTCTTTTTTCTTACTATCCAATTCATGGGTAGTTTTTTGACTATTATAATCCAGCAATGCTCTACTTTTAGCTAAATAACTATCAAATAACTTCTCTAAATAAATTACACATATTTCCTACCTTTTGTTTGTGTATTTCCTGCATGTTTTCCTCCATCATCTGCATCCCCAGGAAAAGGATCGACAGGCTGCTGTGGAAGATTCTCAGAGCTACTCTGTGAAAATTCATATAGCAGTAATGAGTTACAGAAGCATTTCTTACTCATTTCCAAAGAAGCTATCTGATTTTTACCATCTTAAGGCAAGCAGGTTTAATAATGGGAAGCATATACTGAGAACCAAAATGTCTCCCATGTGAACCTTATGACAAGCCCAGCTGCTGTCTCCATATGGGTGCTGACTTTGTAAAGCAGGCATGGAATGCTACAGGAAGGATTCAGAGACAAAATTCTGTCTGACAAACCTATTTCATCCTAGCTTCACAAGAGTCAACAGTACGCTGCACTCTCCAATGAATGTAACATTGAAACATACAGATTTACATGAAGCCATTTTTATGAGTGCATGTTTGTGATATGTAACAATTACACTTGTTTTGGGGAACTGCTACATGAGTTATCATTTCTTGATTACCTTGGTTCCCTTTACACCCTAATATCACTTTCCCTTCCCTGAATAAACAAATTCTTATAAATATACTTGTTATTATTCAGCATTAAGCATTCTATTCACAGAAGTCATGTCACTGTTAAGATACTCGGCCAGTAAGAAACTTCAGAGAGCCATGCTGAGTAAAAACATCATTGCAGGCACTACTTCACTTGTGTAAACAAGGACTTGAAAGAAAAGCAATTCTGAGGTAATATTTTTACTGATAGAAAAATGTTTGAAAATAAAAATATACTGATAACTTCATGTTATATTCAAGAAATAGCACATGAATATGAGATGTTATATACAACTCTTTCCCAATTAAGAAAAACTTTGAAAAAGTATGAAAAAAGACTGCAACATAAAAACTTTTTTTACAAAGTGCCCCCAATTTACAACATACCGACTTACACATTTTCTTTTCTATCTGTTGCAAAACTGTAAATAACTGTGAGGAAGTAACTGCACTTCCTGCTTCCTGGTCACTGTAGGGTGCTGCAGTGATGGACAGACAGGGCTCATGGTCCTGCCCACAGTGTCCTCCTGGACTTTACTGTGCTGGCTCCTGTTCACTCTTATATTAGCAGCAGTTCACTCTCATTCCCATCTGTACTGAAACCCCCCTCGAAAATTCTTTAACATTTGCAGGCCTAGTGGTGCACACCTGTAATTCCAAACTTCTGGAAGGGTAAGGCATGACAAGCACCAGTTCAAGCCCAGTCTTGGGAATGTGGTTACATAGAAAGACCCTGTCTCAAGTCTAATATGGCTGGTGGTATAGTGCCATGGGAAGGCCACAGGATGGATTCAAATTAATGAAATAAAAAGTGCTTCTTGTTCATTTGACTGCTCTATCATGATAACATAAGTCTTCACCTAAGATATTCAGTATCTCACTACTTGGTACACAGTGGTACTCTAAAACAGAGATTTATTCAAGTTCACATTTAAAATCTCATCAGGGAAGCCTCAAGCACCAAGCCACTCTCTTCCTATATGCTGTCTCCATCAACAGTTTTACTAAGAGTTTTACCATTTACAAACCAGCAATCTACATGCCCCTCTCATCTTTCTTACTCTTTTCTTCACATTATTATTTTGCTTATCTCATGTTTAGGAAAAAATCTTCAATATTTATTCAGGTAAAACCTTTTATACTTTCAAAGTATTTTTATAATTTTTATCACAAATTTCCTATGACATATAGAAAGCATCACATAAGTAGTAGATCATGTGCCATCTTCATGGTATAATAAGGTCACCAAAAGCCAAATTCGTTAAATTACGTTTCCAAGATTTAGCAGTTACTAACAGACAGAATACTAACACATCTTGTGACTTCAACCACCATCCTGGTACCACAATGCAGGAGCTGCATGGAACAAAGACATTAGCCCTTTCCCAAAATGCTCACTCTAGGGCCAGGGATTTAGCTCAGTGGCTGAAGTGCCTCTCTGGCAAGCACAAGGTTGTGAGTTTGAACCCCAGTAACCGAAAAACAAAACAGAACAAACAAAAAATCAAAATGTTCACTCTAACACAATTTGTCATTATTTACATTTTTATCAGTACAAGCATGGCTGCCATAAAGAGACTCACTGCATTCCACATTCAAAATTGGTTTCTGTTTTTTCAAATAATATAACACCAAACTGTGAGTATAACACCATGTATTTACATCTTGAGTCCTTGATTCTATTGAATTACTACGTTCAGATCGACACCAGGAAACCCAAACATATTAACTATTGAAATTATCATTTATTACTTTGTCAAGTAAAAAACTGTAAAAATTATGACCCAAACATTTTGTCTGAATCTCAGCAGAATTTTCACCCATTGGCCATAGACTGACTGGGAAAAATTCCTCAGTTTTTGCTCAGCTTAGTTTCAGAATCCAAGCTGATTGCTTATGACATGTTGCTCCTAGTTTTTAACTGCACTGGCTTCCTTAAATGAATCTTACACAGGTAGCAAAGGTGTGCTCAGACTCCATTCATTTATTCCTTCACCTGCAGTACAAAGGATTCAGCACAGGGCAATTGCATTCATCCATGAACCCAGTGGCATTAACTCTTTGAGACATAATCATACTAAACAGCTAAGCTACACAGGAAATTAGGAACTGTGGTTAAAAACTGTAAGGAAAAATTTCTTACAGGTATATGAACAGGTGAGAAAGTATAGTCAAATTTTCCCATTATATTTCAACCTCAACCAATATTTATTTCAAAAATAATTACAGGCAATACCTCAGAATCCCAAGGAGATTCATCATCTGTCTGTGCTTCCAGTGGCAACACAGTATCTATAAAATGTAGTCACAGACACATTAGTTATATTACTACAATAAATTTTACTCATGTATGCAAATCCATCTGCATTCATGAATATTTCACTAAGATACAAGTCAATGTGAAAAGAATTTCAGAAACAGGTTCAGAAATATGTTGGTGGAAGAAAAATAAGACAATAAAATTTTAAAAGAAATGGATATTATGTTTTGGATCTACACACATTTGAAAATAATAGCATATGAACAAGAACGATTTTCATAGCTAGTCACTAACTTACCAGTTTGAGGAGTTTTCTTCTCTTCAACCACATTAGTCATATTTTTGGCTGTTTGCTCTTCTTGTGTTTTTACAAGAACAAACTTACCATTTTCCAGCCATATAATTTTTGGCCTTTCTTCTTCTTTCTAACAAAAAAAAAGGCAGAACAAAAACAAAAATAGCATTACAAAGCATGCAATTGCCCAGTGACCCACTCAGCATAATGGAAACAATCACGGGAAAAAATTTATCAAATCACAATGACTACTCTGGGAAAAGCTGAAAACAGAAAGCACATTCTGCTCTGCATGGAAGTAGATGCAGATACATGAACACAAATGAAAACAGTGAAATGTGTTTCATTTATTCTACAAATGAGGTACAAAGATACACATCCAAATCAAGTACAATCAGTTCTATCTGGGAAGCTCAGGAAAGGCCATTTCTTTTGAAAGGGAGAGAAAGCACACAGGAAGGCTGTCTAGGGAAGTCAAATTATCACATTTACATTTAAACCTCAACCAATACTTATTTCAAAAATAATTACAAGTGATAGGCCACACCTCAGAATTCAAGAATACCATTTCATTTAAAGAACAAATGAAATACCTCAGAATTCAAAAAGGGACACCAGAAACAAAAGGATGAGGCATGAAACAATACAGCAAAAGAGGGCTGCCCAAGGAAGATGATACAACTAGAATACTTTCCAGAAGGGCACAAACAGATAAAAAGGAGCAGCAAGGGGAACCACACAAGACTCATCTCAGGCTGGGATGGGAACTTTCCCTTTGTGAAAAGGGAATCTGCAGATTCTTGGCAGCAGTGTAAGATCAATGCCAGAGTTTAATGGGCAGCAGAGCATAAAAGAATATAATGTCTACATGATGGGTGAGAAAATGAGTCTAGAAATGAAAAACAGTTCTCAGAATGTAAAGAGTAAGAAAGACTCGATAGTCATCAGAAGAGTGGCTGGGGCCAGGAATTCTCAGCTTCAGAGGTCTGGAGCCATCCAATATCATCGCGGAAAGGTCACAGTCAAGGCCTGCAGAAAGACATCAAGCTGGAGGCCTGGGACTGCAGACACATTGTAGGAGGAGGGGAGAAGATGACCTCACTCAGGAAATCATATCAGTTCAAAAGGTGAAGTATTTGTAGAATACAGCAAACTGAGGTAGTAATGCTAACTATGCTATCCATGGTTCTGAAATTCCTCAAATGAAATCAAGGAGATGCCATTTTTCAATTATATACACTAACTTTTTTTCAGGAAATGAGCATAAACTTTTATTGATATATGTAAATGCTGACTTCTGGGACACTACATAAATATGATTTTAAAATTTAATCATAAGATTTAACACTAAAATATCCATTGAAGATTTTGCCAAAGATTCCTGTTCAAAGAAAAATCTTCCAGGATTTAATGAAATGGAGGCCTGCTGATGTGCACCTGTGTCCTGTGCTAATAGGGCAGCTGAGGTACGATGGTTCCTGAAGCTAGGAGTCAGAAGCCCAACTGATAAGTATAACCAGGTCCATTCTCAAAAAGGGAAACATATTGTAAATTATAGAAGGGAAATGGTGATATATTTACAGAATAAGGTATTTTTGCATACTACTATAACATGAGGGAGAAATGTAAAACCTTATTTTAAAATTCCTATTCTCCCAATAAATGGCACATCCCAATACTTCTAATTTTCTATTTATACCATATGCAATGACAGTTACAAATGGAAGAAAGGTTGCATGCTATTTACCACTACCTGAGAACTGAAGCATTTATAGTAGAGAGAGAAGAAAACACAGTATGTTCCATGAGTTTTTCATTCAGAGAAACAACTGCTAATCAGGATTCTATAGAAAAATTACACTTTGAAAAGATGCACCTAGTAAACATGGAGCTGGCTAAAAGAAAAGATTAATAAATTTTAAGATGACATTCTAACCTATGTTCAGAGTTAAAGGATACTACAATGTACTGTGTGTATCATACCTATTCATTCCTCTGATTTGTTTCCTTATTTGACATAACATTAAACATAACCTGAAATTATATATCCTAAGCACAGTAAGGAAATATACACTTTAGGGCATATTTTTAGAAACTCAATGTACTTATTTATTACATAAATCATGCATACATTACTTGAAAAATTCTACTAGGTAGAAATCCATTCATTAACATTCAAATGGTATTAAAATGCCTCTTAATACAAAACACCGCACTGCAGGTCTTCAGAATTCACACAACATCTTTCTAATCTCCAGAAACTCACAGTACTGCGGGAGTTTTAAATGAATATTTGGAAGTACAAAAACTTCTGAAACTTGAAATGTCAGAATGAGATTTGGACACTTCAACTGTATATTTTAAAAACTATAATGCTTACAATTACTTAATCATTACCACTTGCTTTTTTAGACCATCTAGCTCTAGGACTGGTCATTATTTTGACCACAACAAGTATTCTTCAAAAAGATGAAAAATTTTAAAAATGTTATCCTCTTAATGGAGGAATCACTTAGAAAACACGCTGCAGGCAGGTGTAGTAGCACATTCAACCCAGCACTGAAGGTGAGGCTAAAGATCCCAAATTCCAGTCCTGATTAAAAAACAAATTAAATTAATTAAAAAAAATGAGGACCAGGGGGTAGACCTTCTTGCACAGGCCCTGTGATCAACTCCCAGGAACAAAAGAAATAAAATAGCAACAATGAAAATCCTGCACTTCTAAAGTTTGATGACACAGATACAGATAACTTTGATGAAACATTTTAAATTTCTAAGCTGTCACAGTTTCCAATATTATTTTAGTCCAACAACAGAACCAATAAAGGCAACAGAAAAGCTCTCATAAAAACTGTATGACAGTAAAATAAAATGTACTTAAAGGAAAAAATGTTTTATCTCTAAGTTGCTCAAATGAAGGCACCAAAGTTCCCTGATTATTGAAAGGACTAATAAGATCATAAAATATTTATATAGGTATGAGTGCTATGAAGATCTTGGTAGTAAGATTTTCAAGCCATGGCAAGGTCCACTTATCCAAATGATCCTTGACCAAATTTTGTATTTCCGCCATCATGGCAAAGGTTTGACAGACACAATTTTCCTGTCACTGTATGTTTTCTAACCCATTAGTTTTTTCAGTCACAAATACTTCAAAGTATGTACCAGTTATTTACCAAAGGGGTGGAAATTCTTTTTGACTAGGCATAGTTCTCTAAAATGAACTTCGTGGATCAATGTTCCATATAAATTCAGGGTAGCTACACCACTGTTAAATTTGAAGACTAAGTGCAATACAATGAAAAACTAAGAGGAAGAAAACTAACATTACGAAAGAGACTTACCTTGTTATCCAGAAGAAAGTCAGTGTCATCTGATGTAGGCCAGGAATTAACAGGACCGGGTTTTCTGGAAGAACTGGGGAGCAAAAACACACAATAGCAGTGGGTGAGTTTCATTCTTTAAAAACTGGTGAAAGCTTGGCTATCTGTGTATGAAATGATGGTTCGTGGTTGACACAACTAAAATTTGACTTGTAGTTTTGAAATAGTTTAGATGTTTCCTTCTGTCTTCACTTATTCCAATCTACGAAACACTCAGCATAGTCTCACTTTCACTCCCAAAGTGTGACAGCCAAGAGACCAGCACAGTCTAAAAGGCATTTCTCTTTACAAATTGCCTCCTCTGAAGGCTGAAGTGAAAATGCAATCAATGGCCAACAAAAGTTGTTACCTGGACTCAAAAATGCCTGGTAACCTCAAGGTGAAAAGATTCACCATCCCCTTTCCCTGGTCTGTCTCTGTTTCAATGACTAATCTGGTTGTGATGGTTTTGGTTTAAGTGTCCCCTTTAGTGGGAAGGTGTTTGGACCATGGGGACCCTATACTCAGCATGCCCTCATCCATCTGCAAGTTCAGTAGCTCACTGTGCCCTTAGCAGATCGGGTCTGCTCTGAGGCAGGCCACTGGGTCCTGACCTGGATGGGTGAATTCTTACCCTTGGTTCTTCAGCCCTCTCACTGCTCCTGCCTGCAGGAGCTTTCCTCTACCTTGTCTCCCTGCTAAGGAATTTCTTCCTTGGAGCCTGAACTGAGTCAAAATAAATCTTTCCTCCTTTAAAACACTGGGGTTGAGCAATTTACCCCATTAATGCAAAAGTTAGTGAAAGTCAGTATGATGCTAAGTAACTCTGGAATGGCAGTCTTTTTCTACTATCAAAGCCCCTTACAGTAAGACAACTCTGTTTCTTCCCTTTACCATAAAAACAGGACATTGAACTATAAAAATATCTGAAGGTTAAAAGTATGGAAATCAAAGAAAAAAATGTGTATGTGAGTTGATAAATCTCTTCCCAGGGAAATTAAACTATTAAAAATTATAAAATCCAATTATTTTTCCTGTATGGCTTTGCTTTTTTCACCTACACATAAATTGGTGAAACTTTCATAGACACACTGACATTCAAGCAGGATCTAGCTGGAAAATCAGCCCTGGTAGCTGCTCCTCTGTTATCCTAAGTCTAATCTAAAGTCCTTCTGAAAGGGCTCCTACTCCTGGGCTGCTCAATGGAGGGCTCCACAAGAGTCTTCACCTAAACTTTTCAGTCTATGAAGGCATAGATCCTGCAACAAGGATGAACTCAAGTAAGCAACAGTAGCTGTTCCTGAAAAGAAAGCTATTTGTGTCACAATCACCTACCCTCAGCAGAAGCAAGGTACTGATAATCAAATGGGCACGTCTGACTTCCAGGCCTACCTTCCATCTACAGGAAGCACATCAGCCAATGGAGTAAAGAGGTGGAGGTGAGAGACATCTGTCCTGGGTCACAGGCCCATGAAGTTCAGCAACTTACGGTTCCCAGTGGACTTTGGGGCCTGAGCCACCCTACATGAACTGAGAAGGAAGGCGGCCATGGGACATTCCTCCCTGCTCTAGAGACTTCCCAATGGCTCACATTACCCTAACCAATCCAACACCAATCTTCAAGTTTCTCAGTTTCTCCAACTGAACAAAAGGGCAACAATCTTTTCAGGTGTCTTTAAACCTTCACTTTTAATATGCCTTTTGAAACAAAGCTCACTAATTTGGGCTTCAATTTCTGTATTATCTTTATTAAACTTGTGACAAACCTCAACTTTCTGATTTCTAATACCCAAGTCTTGCCCAATTCGACGCTGCTCTTCAAACGTGCCTTCCCTCGTGAATTCTACTGTCATGCTTTCCCACTGGGCATGCTAGACCTGCTCCACTCTTCTGCTATGGAAACTCTCACAGAAGGAGACATGAGGAAGTGTATTAGTCTCAGCAACGATAGAACCTGATTTCAATCTCATTTTTACCATGAACTATATTCAGATAAGTCACTTTAATATCATTGTGCTTCAAATTCTCTATGATACAACCATGTGGCTAGAATGTTAAGCAGGTTGAGGCAATAGAAGGTATTTTTATTGTTCTCTTAGATTCCTTAGAACCTGAAAGTCTACTTATTTTTCACTCTGTTTAAGGAACAATAAGAAATACTAAGCAGCATAAGCACTTGCCTTTCAAGAATGCAGTCGTGAGATTTGATTTCTGGTACTAAAAAAAAAATACTAAGGCAGCAGAAATAAAAAAAATACCAAGTAGAAGAAAAATTTTTTAAAAAGTCAAGAAAATATTTTACTTAAGAGGAAAAAAAAATCATAGAACTAGGCAGTAGTAATAGCCTGAAAGGAAAACCAAACTGGGAAATTGGTGAATAGACACATGCATTAAAAATGTCATTGCAATAAACCCTCAACATAAATAATATAAGATGATTTACATAAAGATAGTCTTAACTACCACATCTCCCCTAAGTTCTATAGTGGTAAAAACAAGAAACTGGCTATCAATTCAATCATTATCTTTAGAATAAACTCACCAACTTCTCAGGAAAACTAAGCAGACTTGACATGTCCCTTATGGTGACTTTCTACATTGATCTTAAATGACCTGCATTTGGATCCCAGAACTGCAGAGGGCAATGGAAGGCATCTGGGAGCCAGGCAGGCTAACAGTCAACACATGGGTCAGTTACTTCTTAATTATGAGACCATGGACCATTTAAATAACCCCCATTCATAACAGCAGCCAAATTAATAAAACTGGATTAAAACAGCACAGGTACTTTGTCTGGCCTGGAACAGAACACTAAAAAAGATTATTTTCTTTTTCTGCACTCAGTAATTAGTCACTGTATGATATTTAAAAACCTGTAAATTCTTACCTGGTTAGAGATTCATCTTCAGAAATAGCAGGTGCTATTAAAGAAAAAGGTAAAATACATTTTGAATTAACAAAAATATAAACTATTAAAGTATAACTCTGATGTTTTGAAATAAAATAGTCTTTGGGCTGCATCTGTAGCCCATTCTACAATCAGTATTAATTATGCTATTGATATGCAATGCAATAAGAAATCTCACTTCCTATTTTTTATTTAAGAAATGCAGGGAAGAAGAGAATTTACCTACATTTGATAGCTAAATGAGCAAAGTGCTATGCACAATGACATCCTACCTGAAGGTATTATATTGACAGAAATGGTACCATTAGCAGTATCACTGGCATAAGCTGACATGGCAAACAAAGAGCATGACTTTCCTAGAGTAGTGGCACTAGGAACGATCATAAAAGATACACTTATTTTCTTAAGACACAAGGCAGCTGCTGTAGCATTCAGTTGGAACTGTAGAGTTTGAAGAGGAAGTACTTTAGCTCAAGAAAGCTGTAAAGGGCATTCTAATTTGCAGCATGGCAAAATATGGGAAGCACACCTGAAACAAGCACCATTGCAATGATTTCCAGCTCTCAGTGGAGAAGAGCTCAGGAGAAGTCTGTGCACTTACTCTTGCTATTCCTCTCCTAGGGAAGATTCTAAGGAACTCCCTTAGTTCTCCCTGGTTTCTCTGTCATATGTGTGATGCAAACAGGGCTCAAGTTCATCTGATATCTTACTTCCCATGGAAAGAACCACTTCAGAGCTCAAGCCCTTACAAGCTGGTCCAGTCTGAAAAGCTTAAAAGCCAGCACCGGGGAGGTTGCAACCAGCTGCCAGGGAGCACTATCTTACATGGAATAATGAAAACATACAAATGAAACCACTAACTCACTGAGCCTCTCAGAATGTGACAAGTGAAAGACAAAATTTTACGTCATGTAAACTTTGGGAAAAAAACAAAACAACACAAAGAACCAAAAGCCTCGGATTTCCCGTGACAGAGAACCAATTCATACAAAGTCAGGGCTGGGGTTGGACTCAGTGGTAAACATGTGTGCACAGCACGCACAAGACCACTGAGTCCCTAGTACTGAAGGAGTGAGGACCAATAATAATAATGATAAAATTGGTCATGTTTTACTAACTTAACATGACTTGCACTTAAAGGAAGAGGAGCATTTTGACTCACCTATAGCTTTCATTACTCCCTCATCTTACCTCCCATCTCCAGGTAAGAATGAAAGACCTGAGGCACTTTGAGAAGCACAGCACTCGCCAGTGTCTGCTTCCATTCTCAAAGGTTCTGTCTGGACCCAACAGAACAAGGTGGTGCAGTTCGTGCTCTGAAGTTCAGCATGATGTCACTTTTGTCAACCCTCCTCATGATGAGGAATCCACATAGAAAGCAGGCCAGCTCAGCATGTGGAGCACATGCCATCAGCGCATATTCATACAAGCATCAAAAACACAAAAACTAAGGCTGGAGGTATAGCTCCATGGTAAATCATTTACCTGGAATGGCCAAAGCACTGGCTTCAGTCCCTAGCAACATCCCCAATAAGAGGAAAAAAGGCAGTTCAAGTAACAGCTTTATTGGCTACATTCAGTTAGCTTGAACAATTATTGCTTTTAATCTTCAAAAATTATCCACTGTATCATTTGAGTGATGGTGCAGATCTGCTAAAATCATCACTGCCAGGACAATGAAAAGTTCAGTGGTTGCAGTATTGGTGGAGTGGTGCAGGGCCAGGGAGGCAATGAACAAATAGCACAAAGGAGCTGTCTGAGGCATGACACTGCTAAAGGAAACACACAACAAATTTCAATCCACCATCACATGAAGAATGCTAACAGTGAAACTTAGTGTTAAATGCAGACTTTGGATGGGAACCAAGGACCAGTGTAAGTCATCGTCTATAAGAAGTGTACTACTCTAGAGGACAGCACTGGCCATGGAGGGAGGCAAGTCATGTGTGAGAGGTACATGATCAACTGCAAATCTCTGGATCTTCCTTTCAATTTTGCTGTGAACTTAAGCCTGATATTTAAAAAAAACAGTTTATAGTACAAAGAGTACAACTCTGTGGTAGAGCACTTGCCTGATATAAATGGAATCTCAGGTTTTTTGGCAACCACTGCAAAAAAGAAAAGAATGGAACCAAAAAGAAAACAGAAGAGAAGAAACAAAGAAGAAAAGCTATTAATTAAAGATAGGTATTGAAAGTATTACCACGTTATAGAAACTCAATGTACAATAGGAGATAATTCCAAGATCAAAGTAGCACACTATTAGTATCATCTCCTAAACCAAAGAGTGGAATATTATACAAAGCCATATAAATTAAATACTTAAGTGGGAAAATAATTCATAACAGGGGCAACATTTTAAGTCAAACACATTTGTTTAAAATATTAAAAGTTTAATCTTAATTCACACAAAGTAGCCATAGTGATGTAAAACATTTTCATGTACAGGAATTCAAGGAAAATTAAATGAATGAAGTATTTTAGGTTATAAACTTCCTATAATTCATTTCCTAAATTCTTCTAAATATGGAGTATTAACAAAAAATTAAACACAAATATAAATTGAACTGTAAATACACTTCACATTACAATAGAACCATGAGATGGGGAACACAAACAGTGAATCCTAACACTGACTGCAGACTTCGCTTGGTAATGATGGGCCAGTGTAAGTCATTGTCTACACTAAGTGTACTACTTTAGAGGAGGGCACTGCCTGTGGAGGGAGGCAACTCATGTGTGAGAGGCACACAGTCTACTGGAAATCTCTGGATCTTCCTTTCAATTTTGCCGTGAACTTAATCCTGATGTTTATAAGTGTTCATAGTGCAAAGGGTACAGTTCAGTGGAGGGGCACTTGCCTTGCGTGAGTGGAGTGCCAGGTCTACCAATCCCTGGAAAAAAGAACACATAAAAATAAAAGAGAAGAAACAAAGCTCTTAATTAAAGATAGTTACTGAACCCACTACTGCAGAAGATACAGAAACTCAGTATACCCCTGGAGATAATTACAAGATCAAAGTAGCACAGACTAGATATCATCTCCTAAACTGAAGAATAGGAAAATATGGAGAACAACATAAGTTACAATCTTGGGTGGGAAAATAATGTATAAGTGACTTAACATTTTATTTTTAGTCACAAAAAACTCTTCTCAGTGATACAATCATACAGTAATATGGTTTTTACTAAGTCTAATGCATTTATTAACATATTAAACCTTCACTATATGTTATTACACAGACACTAAACATAGTGATTTAAAACTCTTTTCATGTATAGGATTTCAGAAGTAAAAATTAATAAATGGAGTATTTTGGAATAAAATTTTCCTACGCTTAATTTCTTAAATACTTCTGAATTCTGCAGTATTAAGAAAAAAACAAGAACAAATATAAATGTAGCAGTAAATATACTACACATTTGAATAGACCCATCAGATGGAGAACGCCAACAGTTTGCCCTAATGTTAACTGCCAACGTTAGATGATAACGTAACGATGGACCACTGTAAGTCATCATCTGTAACAAGGGTACTCCTCTAGGAGCGGGCACTGGCCATGGAGGGAAGCAAAACACTTTGTGTGAGAGGGACATGATCAATCAAAGCTCTCTGGATCCTCCTTTCAACTTTGCTGCGAACCTAAGCCAGACATAAAAAACAAAGTTCTTAGTGAAAAGGGTACAGCTCTGTGGTAGAGCACTTGCCTGACTTGAGTGGAGTCTCGGGTTCAGTGGCAACCACTGCAAAAAGGAAGACAATGGAACAGAAAAAAAAGAGAATAAACAAAGAAACAAAGAAAAAGGTATTATTTAAAGAAAGTTAATGAACCTACTAATACCATGATACAGAAATTTAGTATACAATTGGAGATAATTCAAAAACACAGTAACAGTGTATAGATATCATCTCTTAAACCAAAGAGTAGGACCTTACACAGAATAATATAAATTACATACTTTAGTGGAAAAATAAACATTGATAAGTGACTTAAAATTTTATTTTTAATCACAAAAATCACTTTTCAGTAATATAACCATGTAGTAATATTCTTTTACTAAGTCTAACACATTTACTTATAAAATTAAAAGTTTACTCTAATGTTAGTACACACAAAGTAACCATACTAATTTAAAACTATTTTTCATGTATAGGATTTCAGAAGTAGAAATTAAAGAAGTGTAACATTTGGATTATAAATTTCCTATAATTCATCTCCTAAATACTTCTGAATATGGAGTATTAACAAAAAATTAAGAACAAACATAAATGCAACAGTAAATACCCTACACATTTGAATAGACCCATCAGATGGAGAACACTAACAGTGAGCCCTAACATTAACTGCAGATTCAGATTTTAAGGATAAGGGTAGACTCGTGGTAAGTCATCGTCTATCACAAGTGTACTACTCTAGGGGAGAGCACTGGCCATGGAAGGAGGCAACTTATGTGTGAGAGGCACATGATCAACTGCAAATCTCTGGAGCTTCCTTTCAATTTTGCAGTGAACTTAAACCTGATATAAAAAAGCAAACTTCTTAGTGTAAAGGATACATCTCAGTGATAGCGCACTTGCCTGGCCTGAATGGAGCCACAGGAAAAGGTTGAGGCTCTGCAAAAGGGAAGACAAAAGAAAACAACACAGGAAAAAACTGTTAATTAAATGTAGTTACCAAAACTACTACTACCATGTTACAGAAACTCAGTATATACCTGGAGATAATTACAAGATCAAAGTAGCACAGAATAGGTATCATCTCCTAAACCAAAGAATAGGAAAATATATAGAACAATATAAGTCACATATTTAGGCAAGAAAATAATTGATAGGTGACTTAACATTTTATTTTTTTCACAACAATCACTTCTTAGTGATACAATCATGTAGTAAAATGGTTTTACTAGGTCTAATGCATTTATTAAAATATTAAAACTTCACTATAATGTTAGTGCACAGATACTAGACAGACTGATTTAAAACACCTTTTCATGTACAGGATTACAGAAGTTAAAATTCAATAAAAGGCATATTTTAAATTATAATTTCTTACACTTCATGTCTTAAATACTTATGAATTGTGGAATTTAACACAAAATTAAGAACAAATATAAATGCAACAGCAAATACACTACACATTTGAATAGATCCGTCAGATGGAGAACACTAACAGTGAACCTTAGTGTTAATTGCAGACTTTGGATGGCAACGATGGACCAGGGTAAGTCATCATCTATAAGGAGTGTACTACTTGAAGGGAGCACACTGCCTGTGAAGGGAGGGAACCCATCTGTGAGAGGCACATGATCAACCGAAATGTCTGGATCTTCCTCTCAACTTTTCTTTGAACTTAATCCTAATTTAAAAAACAAAGTTCTTAGTGCAAAGGACACAGCTCAGTTGTAGAGAACTTGCCTGGCAAGGATGGAGTCCCAGGTAAGGTTATATCTGCAAAAATGAAAAGCAAAAACATAAAGAAAGAAAGAAAGAAAGAAAGAAAGAAAGAAAGAAAGACACAGAGAGAGAGAGAGAAAGAGAGAAAGAAAGACAAAAAACTATTAATTACAGGTAGTTACTGAATCCACTACTACCATGTTACAGAAACTCAGTATACAATTAGAGATGATTCCAAAATCAAACTAGCACAGTATAGGTAACGTCTCATAAGTGAGTAGGAAAATATGGAGAACAATATAAGTTATAAACGTGGGTGAAAAAATAACTGAGAAGTGACTTAACACTTTTTTAGTAACAAAAATCACTTCTGATACAACTGTGTAATAATACGCTTTCACAAAGATTAATGCATTTATTAATATATTAACACTTTGCTAAAATATTAGTACATAGAAAGTAGCCATATGGATTTGTAACTCTTTTTCATGTTTAGGATTTCAGAAGTAAAACTTAAATAAATGGAGTATTTCAGATAAAAATTTTCTATACTGCATTTCTTAAATACTTCTGAATTTTGCAGTATTAAAAAATTAAGAACAAACATAAGTTCAACACTAAATGCACTACACAGTTGAGTAGACCCATAAGATGGAGAACACTAACAGTGAAACTAATATTACCTGCAGATTTGGATTATAATAATGGACCGGTTTAAATCACTGTCTATAACAAGTGTTCTAGTCTAAGGGAGGGCACTGGCCACAGAGGGAGGCAACTTATGTGTGAGAGGTACATGATCAACTGCAAATCTCTGGATCTTCCTTTCAATTTTGCTGTGAACTTAAGCCTGAAATTTAAAAAAACAGTTTATAGTGCAAAGGGTACAACTCCATGGTACAGCACTTGCCTGGTACAAATGGAATCTCAGGTTTTTTGGCAACCACTGCAAAAAAGAAAAGAATGGAACCGAAAAGAAAACAGAAGAGAAGAAACAAAGAAGAAAAGCTATTAATTAAAGACAGGTACTGAAAGTATTACCATGTTATAGAAACTCAATGTACAATAGGAGATAATTCCAAGATCAAAGTAGCACACTATTAGTATCATCTCCTAAACCAAAGAGTGGAATATTATACAAAGCCATATAAATTAAATACTTAAGTGGGAAAATAATTCATAAGAGTGACAACATTTTAATTTTAGTCACAAAAATCACTTTTCAGTAATACACTCTTGTAGTAATATTCTTTTACTAAGTCAAACATATTTATTCAAAATATTAAAAGTTTAATCGTAATTCACACAAAGTAGCCATAGTGATTTAAAACTTTTTCATGTATACGAATTCAAACAAAATTAAATGAAGGAAGTATTTTAGGTTATAAATTTCCTATAATCCATTTCCTAAATTCTTCTAAATATGGAATATTAACAAAAAATTAAACACAAATATAAATTGAACTGCAAATATACACTTCACCTTACAGTACACCCATGAGATGGGGAACACTAACAGTGAATCCTAACACTGACTGCTGACTTTGCTTGGTAATGATGGGCCAGTGTAAGTCATTGTCTACACCAAGTGTACTACTTTAGCGGAGGGCACTGGCTGTGGAGGGAGGCAACCCATGTGCAAGTGGCACGTGATCTAACAAAAATCTCTGGATCTTGCTTTCAATTTTGCTGCAAAATTAAACCT